ATTGCTTGATAGGGGTGGATAATTAGTCTGCCACCGGTGGGACTCCCAGGCTGGAGTGTGTGTGGGGGTGTCTATGTACTCCCTTTCCCACGAACTGCTACCAGAAGCACCTGTGGAAGTTGGGTGTTGCGTACCCGTTTCCCTTTCCACAGCCAACGTAGGCTGTTGATTTTGAATCCCAGAATGCATTTCCCATTCCACCTCCCCCCCAGAGGAGACTGAGGAGGAACCATAGGCGCGTCCCACCTCACACGTAATTGATCGATGTGGCGGCGAAGCACGCGGCCGTCTGGCAGGGACACCTCGTAAGACAGAGGCCCCGAGACTTTACAGACCACAGCCGGTACTCAAAGGTGGCCAGGCCCGTAATTCCTGGCCCAGACAGGATCACCTTCACGAAGGACCCATGGTGGGTGTGGCTGAGACACCTGAGCAGGTACACGTTCCGGATGCAGCCTGTCCAATTTAGTCACGAGCCGACGACCCCAGCGGAGTTCGGCCGGGCACTTACCCGTGGCAGTGCATGGAGTAGTACGGTGTGCCAAAAGAAAGTCAGCCAACCTGTGATGCCAGTTGCCGTAGGTCAGCTTCTTGAGGGCGTCCTTGGTGACGCGGACCATCCGTTCAGCCAGACCGTTGGTGGAAGGGTGGAAAGGAGCTGAAGCAGCGTAGCGGATCATGTTGGTCCGGAGAAATGCCTGAAACTCAGTAGAAGTAAATTGAGGACCGTTATCCGACACTAGAACATCTGGCAACCCATGTGCAGCAAAAATGCTCCTCAACACCTGGATGGTCTTGGCAGCTGTGGTAGAAGACACAGGCACGACCTCCAGCCACTTGGAATGGCTATCAACAACAACCAGGAAGAATTGACCCTGAAAGGGCCCAGCATAATCTACATGTATTCTAGACCATGGAGTGTGTGTTTCCTCCCACCTGTGTACAGGGGCCTGGGGCATTTCAGGTCTGGACTGTTGGCAGGTATGACATCCATGTACTTGGGACTCGATGGCCCGGTCAATGCCAGGCCACCACA